TTCATTAAACTATTACACTTTTTTTCTACGCTGGCTCACACCAACCTGAATTACAGCTGGTCGGCAAGTGGATAATTTATTTTTTCTTTATGACGATGGACGTGATCTGTAACCTTTGGCTTGAATGCGCATATAGTGGTGATACGTATTTAAGATAGACGTTGGAAGCGCGTGCCACACGTTATTATATATAGACTATTACCAAGTGTGTCCATTGTAAGCTGAAATAGAATTTATACTTCATCAACAACATCCCTGATTATAACAGTTTGATTATCAATACAGTTTCTTCTTTAAATATCTAGAACAATCATGATTGGAAATTTCTTGCTAATTGTCTTTTAACGGGGCGACAGGTGTTTATTTGTATTAGATTTGTATGAGAAATGGTTAACTTTGTGTTAAAATTCAGATACATCTTGAAGGGACGTGTACATTTATGCTACGGAAATATTCCCCGTCAAGGATCATTATGCACTATAACAAAACACAGCTTACAACATGTGTCTCTTTATAAAAGTAGCATTACGGGTTATAGACAAGAATATTTTTTATGATTATGAGTAATAATGTAAATAAAAAATTCCATTAAGATCTATGAAGCACTGCAGTATACATGTCTTTGTATACATACATACAGTTAGTGCATAAAAACCCTCAATGTTTTGTTTAAATGTCACTAAAACTCTGTGTATATTTTAATATTGGTTTTATTTGTATGTCTATACAGGAATATAACCAGTTTGTCTTTATACTACGCTGTTATAGTATGGAATTGTTACATGTGGTTGTTTAATTGTGCATGTGTGAGGGTGATAGTAAATAATTCAGTTTAGAGCGTGTATTGCTTATTCACCACGGTGCTTTTGTGCAAAATGTAAAGTTAGTCAACAGAAAAATAAATAAGTTAATTTCTCACTTTCGGTATCCTACAGCTATTGTGTTTTGTACCTGAGCTCGCATAAAGGACATGGACCATTGTTGTACTGCAAATATTTCGAATTTTTTCAAACAACTCGCTTTGAATGACTTGGCTTTGTCAGAATAATACGCAAGACTACTGCATTGAAATTATACGCGATTTAAAGAAACACAATCTCTGTTGACTGCATTTTTTAGGGTTAAGGTGCCCATTGTTGTTTTATTTGGCTTTGTACTTTATGTTCACTGCTGCAGTTGTAAAGGTATTTGGAGTGCTTTTCATGCAATCTCTTATACACGTGTGGGACTCCAAGTTGAACACGACGTGCCTTGCCATGATGTGACATGTTTCCCTGTCGCCATTTGCCAAGAGAAGGCTTTTCAGATGAGCGGAAATGATGGGAGCCTCTCGCTGTCATATAACCCATTTGGTCCTGTTACTGTCTTTTACGGCATTAGCAAGGGGACAAAGGCTGCGCGCCAATGTTACTTTGATTGACAACGGCTACGAAGGACTTCTCATTGCAATCGGGCCAGACATTCCTGAAAATTCTAAACTCATTCCAAGAATCAAAGTAAGTACACAGGACTGTTGTGATTTTTTAAAGGTTGAACTTTTTTATGTATTTAGGTCATGTGGAGGTTATAAGCCATGAAATTCAGTTTACTTGGATTAGGAGAATCTATTTGTATGCCTTATATTCTTTTAGAATGTTATTTGGAGAAAGGAAGACAAGGACATTGTGAGGACATGATGGCGCGCGACTGTACCTCCGTGTTGACGCTTATTTGTTAATGTGCTGATTCGCATTTTGTGAATTGCTGAGTTACATTGAAAGCACTACCAGGATTATAGATATACGTGTGTGCGTACGTGTGTGTGTGTGTGAGAGAGAGAGAGAGAGAGAGAGATGCTTTCTTTGCATCGATTCGTCTTAACAGTTGTCTAGTTAGATTATGGCACAGGCTTGAATCCACCAAATTACCGAGTAAGTTTTATTTAAAAATAACAGTACAGGGGACATGGAGGTTTGGTCATGCAGTCATCCTCTCATTGCTTTTAGAATGTGGCATGGTCGAGGAAATAAAGACAGCTGGCTTCGAAGACTGCAATTATGTTACAGGGGTTTTTAATCAATCATATTGCTTTCCGCAGTTACCCAATATTGACCCCATTACACTTCCTGGTCTGTCGCAAAGCGTACATTTATTAAAAGTGACCCCAATGCAAAATTGCAGTTCAGGTGCAGGCATTGTTTGCGGTCTTTATCACAACACAAATTATAGATTTCTTCGTTTTGATTTTGACCCTCCGTTGTAATCTTGGTTAAAGGATTCTGTAAGCATACTGATGTTTTTTCAGTAAGGCTGAGGGTTTCATTGCTTCAAGTAACTATTGTGTGAAGTCATCCATAGGTTCATAGGTTGTCAAAAGAAACTTGAAATGCATGGCCGCATACACTCGTTTTGTTAGTGCAATAATGCAGTTGACGCAGTCTGTATTATTTGTTAGCCTTCCAAACAAGACTCAGGTAGAATTGTTAAAAATATCCTAGTCGCTTTATATGCTACCTTAAATTCAATTACATTTCATGTCATACAATGTATCTCACATACTTTTGCTCCACAGCGACACCACGCACCGTGTATTAGTTTCTCAGAAATATTAAATCACGATCTTCGTGCCCGAATCATTGTATATAAAAATAAATATGAAAAAGCCTCTATTTCAGTAAAATGTAGTTTTATCATAGTTTCTTTTACTTGCTCATTTAATAAAAATCACGAAAAAAAAAAGCGGGATCGAATGAAATAAAAATTT